GTTTAATGATTTATTTAAATCCATATTCTACTAGTAAAATTATGCTTAAGCTTTTATTAAAGTCTACCACGATCAAGTTACGTAACACACAAGGGTGTTGTGAGGGGGGGGGGGTTGCCCAAGCGTTACAGTGCGTTGCATGGGGGGGGGGGTTTAGAATGTTGAAAAAGTGTGTTACGTAATACGTGTATGACCCCTAAAGTAATGAGAGTTGGTATATCAATAATATAGCCATAAATTTCTATTCTTTTAAGTTAAGCCATTATTACCATTTTATCTCTTAAGGGAGCCCACGAGGAGTCAGAAAAAATTCTTAATCAGCAGCATAGGTCGAGTTTTGTAATAAATTAAAGGTCTCGGTTAGTAGAACAAATTGCCGCTAACCCAAATGAAATGAAATGAAATGAAATGTGTTTATTGTCTTGTGAATTTATACAAATTATTGACAATGTCTGAAAAACTGCTAAAACTAGCATAGTCAGTTAATGAATACAATATACAATATTTACAAGAATACTACACACAAGGAGACATGTTACAATACATACTTTAATATTACAACCAAACAATCTTATTGTTCAGAAAAATGCAAGGCATTTAGAATAATGAAGTTATTAAACCCCATAACCAACTAAATCCAACAGTAATTTGATAAATTTGCTAGCTCTACTTAAAAATTAATAAAAGGCATTTCAAAAAAATCTTGTAGAGAATAAAAAGGGTTGTTCAAAAGCCATTTGTAGAATTTAGACTTAAAAGTTTTATTAGGATATTTTGTTATTAAATGTATTAGCTTGTTGTATATTTTTAGTGAGATTACAATTTGACTTTTAAGAGTTTTAGACAGTCTAAAAAAATCTATGGTAGCAACGTTTTTATTCCTTGTATTATAAACATGAGAATTTTGTTTGATAAGGTTGGGATTTTGTAGAATATATGATACAGAGTCAAATATATAAATGTTAATTACTGTTGGAATTTGTAGCTGAATGAACAGGGGTTTACAGTGTTCCTGTTGGGGTTCACAAGATATGATTCTAACTAACTTCTTTTGTAAGACTAAAATTTGAATGGGAAATTCAAACAGACTCCTCGTGGGCCGTCCCAAGTGATAATAGCTTAACATAGTAGACATCCTACTAATATTATAAATGTAAAAGTTTGTGTGTTTGTTTGTTTATTTGTTTGTTTGTTTGTTTGAAGTTCAATCACGCATAAGCCACTGGACAGATTGGGCTGAAATTTGGCATGATGATAGCTGACATTCTCGATTAACATATAGGCATATACTTATCTGAAAAATCCTTTCGGGCTCCGCCCCAGTGGCTCTGTACTTCCCCATGTTAACCTTATGAGTATTCATATTTAAAGGGAATTAAAGAATTCAGTCAGCTGTTTCAACTAAAAAAGTTGGTTCTATGATACACAAAAGCATTAAAAAGTTGTAAGATTTACCAACAGGGTTCGGCATTATAATCTTTTTTGCATTTATGTAAACAGCTAATTTGAACTAAGCAGCAACAAAAAACTGTGATACGCAATGAGAACTGTCAAAGTAGGATAGTTTATAGTTATGTTTATGTATTTAATGTCATCAATAATTTGTGATTTTTTGTGAATTCGTAATATTTTCTTTTTCTTTATTGTTTAGGTGAAGTGGTAGACCATTTTGGCTATGGTAGATGTGTAATACCATTAGTATACCTTCAATTTAAAGAAGCAAATTTTATCAAACTTTGTCCTCCCCGCATTGCAAACGCAAAGCTTGAATATAACTGCAATAAGCATTATAAACTTATATGCCAATCCCGTACGAAGGACGGGTACTCTGCTAGTCTATATATAAAGCCAAAAGTACCCATGAACTTTTGAGAAAACTACAAGTCCCACCCCCATAAACCATATACCTAAAATGTTTGTCATGACGAGAAACCTTGCGCAAAGCTATCCATTATTTCATAAATTGCCCTTTAAGGTCGTAATTCCTTTCTAAAGGGAACTTTCCATATACTTAATGTTAAAAAATACCTCAGCAGCACTTATTTGTTTGTATTACTGTATCCTTTTTAGTTTATTTCAGCTTAACTTAACCAATCAATAATTTTATTAATACTTATGAAGTCAAATGGGGCGAAGCCCGTGGGTAACAGCTAGTTTATATAGCTATTATTGATATACCAAGTCTCATTACTTTATCTACCTATATGGTAAACAAAATATTGCACCGTTCTGGGCCTTTTCAATCACACTGTATACTGTAACTCAATTTACCGGTATCTCTGATCTGCATAATCATGCCCCGCCAAGTCCCCCAACGGTACACAGCTTGCAGTGTATATATACATGACGTGACAAAGTGGCTTTTTTACTCGTCTATAGCTCTGAAGAAACAAAAGCTATTAAAATAATTATTCATCTACTGGATAGGGGCTCTCATTCTCAACAAAATTTAAAAAAAGAATTAAAAAAACGCTTGTGTTTTAGTCAAGAAAAACTAGTTAGAAAATTCACAAATCTTCCGTGTTCTCCTTCTCCTCCTTCTCCTTGAATGTTGACGGACCTACAGCCCAAACCACTGGCTCAATTTTAATGTTCTTTATGTTGTTTGAAAGCCATTAACGTGTAGATGTGCCTTTTGAGGGTCTCAAGTCCGTGCGTTGACCCATAAACCCTTGGCAAGCCCTCAAAGTACGATTTTGGCCCATTTAAATAACATGGGATTAAAAACAAAACAAAAGAAGGACCAGCTGCGATTAAATCTCAATTATTTTAAATGTTAGAGAAATTCATAGGAACAGCTGAAAAATTATTTTAAAACTTTCATAAAGTATTTTTTTCAGGTATACTGAATGATTTGAACTACTTACTACATATATAAAATTACTTAGAGCAGTGATATTCCCTGCTATAAACCGATAGCAGATAAGACCAAAAATGTAGAATTTAGTTCTACACAAACAATATTATTGAAATTAAATGAGATGTAGTTGTGCCGTGGTCTATATATCAGAGAAAAGAGGATTTTTATTTTAACTGTTAATTTTCTACAAAAATAAATAAAATCTAAAAAAAAAAAAAAACAACACTAAGTGGTAACACTTTCCCCGCCAAGTCAGCAATCCAAAAAAGTTAACAAATCATTACTTTTTCCGCCAAAGAAAAACAATGTAATGTATGTAAGTTTGGCAACTTGGCGGCAGACTTTTGCTCAATCACTTTAAAAAATACCATAAAACTAGTTTCATTGAGCAAGTATCTCTCCCATTGCTAGGTGAGAGCTTATTTAACAAAATTTGACCTTATTTGTGCCACATTTCATAAAATCATAATAGTGATGGTTTTATATTTACTGATTACCTCAAAACTATTATACTTAGTTGGACTTAGAGAAGTTGATTTGTTAGATTTGTTAGACGAACGTAACTTTAATGAAAAAACCAAACAAAAGAGGTCCGTGAAGTTAGCCCCCCCCATAAAAGCACTAACAATAAAACTAGTATTAATGGTGAGTGCTTCGTTAGTGCTGGTTAGTGCTTCAACTCCCATCGTTAGTGCTCTTACGGTTCAGGAGCTATAACAAAAAAACTGTGGGTGGGGCCAACTTCACGGAAGTTAGCCCCCCCCAGTAGTAATATGTGAGCACTAACTTTCAAAACTGTACCAACGGTTAGTGCTTCGTTAGTGCTGGTTAGTGCTTCAACTCCCATCGTTAGTGCTCTTACGGTTCAGGAGCTATGACCAAAAAACTGTGGGTGGGGCCAACTTCACGGAAGTTAGCCCCCCCCAGTAGTAATATGTGAGCACTAACTTTCAAAACTGTACCAATGGTTAGTGCCTCGTTAGTGCTGGTTAGTGCTTCAACTCCCATCGTTAGTGCTCTTACGGTTCAGGAGCTATAACCAAAAAACTGTGGGTGGGGCCAACTTCACGGAAGTTAGCCAACCCCAGTAAAAATATATACAGTACTAACTGTTTTTTGATAGGCTAAATGTACTAAATGAATCCTTGCCCCATGTGAGGAGGGGATAACTTCCCTGGGGAAATATTACCTTTTATTTAAAGCTTTAAAAAATGTGTGGAGTCTAGTTGATATAATTGTGTGGAGCTGTCTTTCAATCGCCTTAAAAATCTAACCTCGGAACTAGAGCTTTTCATTAAAACTCCAGGAGCATTCACTAACCAGCGCTGACCATTTACACTATTTTGAAAGTTAGTGCTCACATATTACTACTGGTTAGGGGGGGGGGGCTAACTTCCGTAAAGTTAACAACGCAACAGTTTTTCTAGTTACAGCTCCTGAACCGTAAGAGCACTAACGATGGGAGTAGAAGCACTAACCAGCAGTAACGAAGGACTAACCGTTGGTACAGTTTTGAAAGTTAGTGCTCACACTATTGGGGGGGTAGTGAGTCGGTGGCTGAGTCGATAGCGTCGCGGACTTCTGATGTCGTCGGTTCGGATCCTGGTCACTAAAATTTATCAGTACGGTTCACCTTTGTACCGGCTCACCCCTTGCTTTGCTGTAAACGTTCCACGCACAGACGCTTAGTCTATGTGGACGGGCAAATGCAAGGTTAAAAGAGGCCGCCAATCTCTTTAAAAAAAAAAAAAAACTTCTGTGAAGTTGGCCCCACCCTCAGTTTTTTGGTCATAGCTCCTGAACCATAAGAGCACTAACGATGGGAGTCGAAGCACTAACCAGCACTACCGAAGCACTAACCGTTTGTACAGTTTTGAAAATTAGTGCCCACATATTACTACTGGGGGGGGGGCTAACTTCCGTGAAGTTGGCCCCACCCCCAGTTTTTTGGTTATAGCTCCTGAACCGTAAGAGCACTAATTATAGGAGTTGAAGCACTAACCAGCACTAACGAAGCACTAACCAATAATACTAGTTTTATTGTTAGTGCTTTTATGGGGGGGGGGGCTAACTTCACGGACCTAAGCAAAAGTCTGCCGCCAAGTTGCCAAACTTACATACATTACATTGTTTTTCTTGGCGGAAAAAGTAATGATTTATTAACTTTTTTGGATTGCTGACTTGGCGGGGAAAGTGTTACCACTTAGTGGTTTTTTGTTAGATACAAAGTATATTAAGTAAACAACCTATAAATTTCAAATGTACTAGTACAGCCTCACTATTTTGAACTTACAATTAAAATAAGCTAGGCAGTCCATATGATGAAGCTGGTGAAGGTCCGAGACTTCTAAGAGGTGTTTCCACAGAGGCAGATATGGAGGGGTTGAGAGGGTTGAAGCTCGGAGGGGGTGGAGGCACGAACTCTGCTGGTCCTGGTGGGGCGACTGCTGCAGACGACGCAAAGGCTGAAGATGAGGGTAGGGGGGGAGAGATTGGGGGAGGGTTTACTGAGGATTGAGCTACTTGAAATGATGAAGAGGTAAATACTGGTTGGGGGTATGGCCCGGGAGATGGTGCAGGGTAGGGGACGGGCTTAGGGTAGGGAGCAGGCACTGGGTATGGGGCAGGCGCTGGATAGGGAGCGGGGGCAGGTATTGGGTAAGGTGCAGGAGCAGGCGCTGGATAAGGTGCAGGGGCAGGCACTGGATAAGGTGCAGGGGCAGGCGCTGGATAAGGTGCTGGATATGGAGCACGGTATTGTGCTAAGCAGCCGCAAACTGCTAAACTTAATGCTAAGATTACCTGGAAAAAGATCATATAGTATTAAAAACTTATTTAACATAATAAGATAACCTAAAAAGTATCTATATTGGATGAGGTGTGGCTGAGTTTGCTGATTAAACCTAAAGCATTGTAAATGAATATGCAGCGAGATTGTTAAATGGAAGAATTTTTGAAGATGGTATTTTCTTTGTGATATATTCTATACCTTTATAGTGTATAGCCTGTTAGAGGAAGAACAATTCATCAAAAGTTCTACCTTCTTATTATGACTATTCATATTCATAAATGTTATTTCATTACGTAATACACCTGTACTGGAATGGATTTTAAATGGACACCATAGCTGATTAATTGGCAAAATGTGGTTGTAAACAAAAGCAACCCTCTTAGAAGTTATAAGTACCGTAGTGATTATGTTAAATCCTTTTGTTGGTAGTAGGAATGTGTATAACAGATTTGTACTGTTTTAGCGAATTTCCCATATAGGGAATAAACTATTACCGTAGGTCTCATGGTAAGACCTAGGCCCAGGACTGATATACTTTTTCGTTTTGAGGTCCCCAGAGGCTAAAAACACAATTTGTTCAAATTCATCTATCAGAGTGTTTGGTAGTCAGTGTCAAAGATTTTAAGGCTTTGTTATGCATGCAAATTGTGATGAAAATGTGCAATTTGGATAGTTCTATCTCAAGGCCATGCTACACCAAGCTTGCTCCCATGGCGGACCCGAAGTTTGAAAAATCTCTCACTATGTTGACAATGGGACAGGTAACACAGGGCATCCGTGGACAGTAGTGTGCTTGTCCGCCAAGCAATCGGTAACGGCGCTACCATTCCTCCAAAAATCTCTTGTTTTAGGGGTTTGCAGACTACCACGGTGTTAGTGTGGTCTAGCGCATGTGCAGAGGTGCACCTTGAATGGCCAAGCCTCGCAGCACCATCGCGATCTCCTCCCTAGTCGCACGGACGGGGTACTTTTGGTGTGGCATGGCTCATTTTAAAACGCCCGTGCGCTACCGTCTCTCGCCGGTAGCAGTGGATGTCGGTGTTGCATGGTTTCACTCCTTCTTTTTGTAACAGCCGTTTTTAGATTTTTTAGTAGGTATATCATAGGTAATTCAATAGGTAAATCTCATTTCTCTCAAATTTAAGCCAACAGAATGATTTTTTTAGAATCTGGAGTCAATATTCTATCAGAAAATGTATAGTTTGTTAAAGCCAAATCCATATAAAACCTTATCAACTTGCCTTGAATAACAAATTTGAAAACATTAATTAAAAGGCCGCCACGAATTGCTTGAGAAAATTTGTTTATGCGTTGTTAAAAACTCTCAAATAGTATTTTGAGATTTAAAATGATATACAACATGTGACATTTTATTTCTGCCTAAGAGGAAGCATATTGCTTTAAACATAAAATTACTCATTTATTTCATTAACTGTCATTAATTACAAGAACGCATTAAGTAAAATGGTAAAAGTAGTGTGCTAAAGGTAGCTGTATAAGTAAGTATGCACAAAGTATACTTGTAAAATCTAATATTTTAACAGCTAAAACTAGTCATAGTTCATTGAATCAGGTAAAAGTTGTAGAGTATTTTCTAAATACACACGTCAGAGCAGGTAATTAAAAGAAAAAATATATTTGCAATTTTACTTACTTTACCAAAAACATTTGTAAATACAATGTAATACAGGGTGATTTGTACTCAGTGTGACAACATTTTTTTGGTGTAAGTACAAAGTAAATGAAGTGTGATGATGCATATCAAATGTTCCAAGTCTAAAAATTAGCTTCCCAAAAAATTATTTTATGTTTTTCAAAAATAACCATGTTTTTAAACTTAATACAGCAATTTCTCAATTACCTGTATATAATTAATTTCATTAAAAGACAACAATCATGGAAAAACTGGACCTGAAGAATTGTAAATATGTGTTTGAAACTACATGCCTTAATGTCTGATGCATGTTCTTTAGATTTATTTTATTGCAGCAACTTAGCTACTGTCAATCCTACAGTTTTCTCTGCTCCTCTTCTTTGCATACATCAACCACAGCCACCTCTAATACAGAGGTGGCTGTGGTTGTACTCATTTTACTTTTAAGGAATCTCCAAACAGAGAATTTCATAGGCATAAGACAACATCAACAACATCTGCCTGGCCATGCAAAAGAGCATCGGTTGAAGAGAAATCCAGAAAACCAATTCTCTTTACCTCTGTAATGAAGAGGAGTAAAATCCTTTTGTCAACATTCCTATTTAATTTTGTCCTAAATCTAAACTAATAATTTACAAGTGCAGTAAATATGTGCACCAAGAATATGCATCAGACATTAAGACAGGTAGTTTAAATGTAATACAGTATTAAAATTTACCTAATGTGGCTCATAAGAGAAGCTGAGAAAAGCTGATGTCATATTTTAGTGAAAATTCAGCTAGTTTTTTTAGTGCTTTTTAGACCAGAAAGTTTTGGATCCAGCTGATGATACGGTCAATAACGCTTGTTATTGTTTTTTTGCTCTCCCTATTTTTACGTTTTAAAATAATTTTGATTTTCTTTTGAAGTGTTTCTTTTCTATTTTTAGTTACTTTTTTGTGTTTCTTTCGGACTTTCAATAAATTTCATATAAGTTAACACATTAAATGAACTGGACGAACTCTGTCTTGAAACCTCCGATCCTAACCTATCATGAAGACCATAGATACCGGTACGCATCAACAAGTCAAAATATCAGTACAGTCAACAATGGTAAGCATCATATTTTAGACGACTCATTGGCACCACCAAACAAAATTTTCCTCGTTCAACTTTAACAGATTGTAAATTAAATAAAGTTAAAAAAAAACAAATTCATCACACCAATTAGAAGTTAGCACAATGGAACTAGACAAAAACCAAGAAGGTGAATCAAGTGAATTTCAACTAGTATCCAATAGGAAAGCTAAATCATCATCTTCCAAGTTCCAACCATCTACGAAGCGATACAAAACAGTAATACAAAACAGATTTAGTCCTTAAGCATCCACTACCGACAATGACGAAACTGTTGGATCTCCTAACTCTTTATGACTCGGTCTTAACGCAAAATTATTTTACCGTGAACAAAGGTAGTACCATCAAAATAAATGTGTCTTCATCAGATGACTTCCGTGTACTAACAGCCCATTTTGACAATTTAAAAGTACAATATCACTCTTTTTGTTCTCTGAAAACAAACGTCTCTCTGTCATAATACGGAACGTCCCAATCTCCCTTTCTGACGAAGAAATTCACACAGAACTTAAACGAATGAATCTGCCAGTTCTTAAAGTTACTAGACTATACAACAAAAATAAATATCCAATACCTCTTTGTGCCATCGAGCTCGAGGACTCCGACTCTGGCAATGACATTTTTGGCCTTGAATTTATTTTCCATTCAGATTGAACTTAAGCGAAAGTCTAAATCCATCCCTCAGTGTATTCGCTGTCAACGCTATGGACACACTAAAAACTATTGCAAACTTAATGCCCGTTGTGTTAAATGTACAGGAAACCATTTCTTTTCAGATTGTCCTAAAAAGAGAGAAGATCCAGTCCAGTGTGTTAACTGTAATGAGTCGCATACAGCTAATTATCGTGGTTGTCCTTACCTCAGCCTTAAGACACGAGCAATCAGCAAAAGAAATCAACCAACAACCAATCAGGAAATCAGCCATAATCAAGTTCAATACAACTCCAGTAGTAATTTTCCTGCTTTGTCAACCAAAAACCGCAACCCTCCAACAAGTTCTCAAAGCGAAAACTTTGCTACCCCACACAAAACTTATGCTAATGCTACAAACGGATCAAAACATAAACGTACTGAAACACAAACTCCCCATCCTGAACCTGACAACTCAGAACACGACTCTCTTCATCCTATTTTAAAATCACTATTATCTCTAGTTAAACCTTACCTCCCTCAAATTAAATCGTTCATCTCTCAGTTAGTATCATCTATTTACCAGAATGGATTTTAATTTACACCCAGTGAATAGCTTAAAAATACTTAATTGGAATGCGAATGGTCTAAAGGAAAAGCGTTCTTCATTTATTGTTTTTCTAGCTCAAAATAAAATTAACATCGCTTGTATCACAGAAACTAATCTGATATCAACGGAAAAATGTACAATTCCTGGTTATCTCGTTTACAGGTCAGACAGGGATGCGCCTAGAGCATCTGGCGGAGTTGCCATTGCGGTTAAAAGAAACATTGCTCATCACTCATTGTATCTTCTTCACGTGAATAACCTAGAAATTACAGCCATAAAAATAAGAATAAACAACGATGATATTATTTTATATTCTGCTTATCATGCTCCACGGTACAAGTTTTCAAAAACGTACATTGAAAACTTCTTTTCAGATAATACTCCTACTATTTTACTAGGCGATCTAAACTGTAAGCACGAAGCTTGGGGATGCCTGAAGACAAATCCAAATGGAAGACTACTCTTAGCCGCTGCTACTGCCTACGGAGTATCAATTGTTGCCCCAAATGAACCTACTCATTACTCATTTAACCAACCACAATGTCAGGCCAGACATTTTAGACATTGGATTGTTTAGAAATATGCCTCACCCAACACACATGACACACCTAATTGACCTTGATTCCGATCATCTACCAGTCATTCTTTCATTTAACGAACCACCTGAAATAGAACTTCCAAACGAAAAACTTATTAAAGGAGTAATCGAATGGGAAAAGTTTAAAGAATGCTTTCATGAAAGTTTTCTCCTTCCTCGCCAACTAAAAGATAAAACCCAAATTGATGAGGCTATCGATTTGTTTGTCACTTCCATTCGTCTCTCAGTAGAACAAGCAACGGTTCGTCAGTTTAAACCTAACAAATCGTTTTCCTCGATTCCTCGATACATCCTGTCCCTTATTAATTTGAAGAATAGACATAGAAGATTATGGCAACGCTACAGAACTCCTTATTTTCGCAGAAGATATAATCAGCTCATTAGACGAGTCAAATGGGAATTAGACTGATTCAGATACGAATCTTATAACAAATATGTATCAAATCTGTCCTCTGATGACAACAACTCCTTATGGCTCGCAACTAAACAAATATTGAAAGAACGCACCCCAATACCCAGTTTAATAAACAATGGTCAGGTATGAAAGCAAAACGGACAAAGCTAATGTTTTAGCCAATTACTATTAGCGTTCATTTCGTCCGAATGATGAATTTCAAGACCCTGAATTTTCAGCTCATGTTACCACAGTTAATGCCTGCCCACTCATCACGGTGGAACGGCCAATTAAATATACTTCTCCATCTGAAATCTCTAACTTCATCAAGTCGCTAAGAATCAAGAAAACGGAGAATAGCTATTCTCCAGGCCTTTGACCGTGTTTGGCACGATGGCTTGTTGTTTAAACTAAGAAAGTTTAAAGTCCCCTCCTACCTACAGAGAATTATTGAAGCTTCCTTGAAAATAGAACGTTTTCAGTTAATATTGATTGCTCCCTGTCAACTGCCAGACCAATTCAAGCCGGAGTCCCACAGGGCGCAATTCTTTAACCTCTATATTATATAATATTTACACTACACTTCTGATTTGCCATTGTCAAACCATGTCCAAACAGCTGTGTTTGCTGATGACACCCTACTCTACTCTACACACCATGACATCGAAGTTGTGGCCAATAACATTCAAGTTTCCTTAAACGATTTGATGGAATGTTCACAAAATGGAGAATAGCCATAAATAAAGAGTGAAGCGAAGATTTTTACCCTCTGAAAACCGTTAGATCCTCCAAATTTAGAAATTCTAGATGAACAGATATTGCATGGAACCCTCCTGACCAAGCAATAAAATATTTAGGTGTACTTCGACCGAAAGTTAAATTGGAAATTTCATATTAATAAAAAATTAAATTTGGCTTATGGCAGATTATCAAAATTGTTTCCTTTAATCAACAAAAAATCATGTATGTCTATTAAGAATGGAACCCTTCTATACAAAACACTTCTACGTCCACTATTGTTGTACGCCTGCCCAGTATGGGGAACTGCTTCATCAAGCTCGATTCGTAAACTGCAAACGTTTCAAAATAAAGTTTTAAGGATAATTCTAAAATGTCCCTGGTATGTTCGAACCTGTCAAATACATTTAGAACTGGGAATAAAACCTATAGAAGATTTCATCAGGAAAATTACATCAAAATTATTTACAAGACCTCCATTAACAAGCAGCATTGGATTTTATAACACAGGCCAACCTTCTGAAATCCAGAGACTCCGACTAAAACCCAGATTGCCTCAAGATGTTTTATTATAACAATTTTTTTCATTTGTGTTTCATTGGTGGACAGCGCCTTTACAGTCCGACCCGCTAAAACAGTGACAATAAGTGTCTGAGGGGCTAGCCACAGCTGACCTCTACCTATGTTAATATAATTAATAGTGTTATTTTTTCTCTCTTATATTATACCTAACCTGTATAGAAATGTAATGCTGATCGGTTAGTAAAATTGTATAAATAAACGGTATCAGCATTCTGACACATACTTTCTCCCATAAGTTTGTCAACAACCTTTATCATATTGTGTAAGCGGTGAGAGTAAATATACGGAATTGGGATTAGTATAATCTTGTTCAGAATTTAAAGGACTACATACAAATTTTTATCACAATCGTTTGGGCCATTTCTGTGAAAATCCGATTTTTCCGTTGTTTTATTGGGTTTTTTATGGGAAAATAACATAATTTACAATAACTTTTGAACCGTAATTTTTACAGAAATGGGATTTGTACCATTTTGTTTAGAATATTAAGGACTATAACATACCAAATTTTTATCAAAATCGTTCGGGCCGTTTTTGGGAAAATCCTATTTTTCCGTTTTTTATGGGGTTTTATGGGAAAATTCCCATTAAAAATTATTTTTTTTTAATGAAAAAACTATCAAAAAAGGACCATAACATACTATGTTAAATTAAAACCGTATTTTTTTCTAAAATCCTATTTTTCGTTATTTTATGGGGTTTTTAATGGGAAAATAACATAATTTACCATAACTTTTGAACCGTAATTTTTAGAGAAATGGGATTTGTACCATTTTGTTCAGAATTTAAAGGGCTACAACATATTAATTTTTTATCAAAATCAAAATTCGATTTTTCCGGTTTTTTATGGGGTTTTATGGGAAAATCCCCATTAAAAATCAAAATTTCAAAAAAATAAAAAAACGCCTGGAGATACCATGGATTAGAACCTACATACCAAATTTCATCGAAATCGGACCACAGGTGTAGTCCCTAGCTCTGTACACATCCAGACACACACACACACACACACGCACACACGCACACACAGACATCACTTCGAAAACCACTTTTTTGGGTCCAGGGGGACCCAAAACGAATATATCCACTCAAAACTCAAACTCGAAAATTTTGACGAAAACAATACTTTCTCCATCTACTATGGTATAGGGGGAGAAAGTAAAAAAAGAACAATAATGCTATGCTGTAGACGAAGCTACCTCCGCCCTCCTCAACTTGTGTGGACCTGTTCACCACAACAATGCAAATATTTATAGCACAGACAATATAATACTTTAGTGTTTATAGTGTAATCTCTTTGACAGACGAGCGACATCGTGTATAAATGCGTTGTCATGGTTTACTATTTAACCTGTATTATTATCATTTTTTATAATTTGAGATGAGGACGCCACCTATATGCGTATTTTAACCCAAATTAGTGAAGGATAAGTGTAGAATGAAGTGTGATGACCTTTATAGCTTTGTTACAAACTTAGACTAGCTGTTTCATTAGTCAGGACCCTTTATCAAAAGGCCAATGATGGAGGACAGCTGGGCATAGTTTCGAACAATCAAAAAACTAAAAACTTTTCTCAGGATCGAACCGGCGACATTTTGATTACTTGGCGAGCACTGTATGCACTGAGCTT